TAGTCTGAGCAAGCAATCAGTTTTGCCTTTATGCTTCCATAAAACGAAATATTTTACAGCAAATTCTTTTTAATATGTCACACAAGGCTCAATAGTGTTTTTTATGACTTGACAGTTGCAAGCTATAAATATACTTCTTTCCCATTCCTTCTTTCGTTGCCCGTTTCAGTTCAGTTAGAAATTCCAACTTTTTCATGTCTTCACCCCAAATTCCCGCAGATTTATGAAGACAGTTATGACCCTTTCTGTTTTTGCCATTTCCATCAAATAAAGCGACATATTTGTAAAGGTGTGCGACCAAACATGAACTGGTTCAATTAGATCAACGCCCTCTAGCGGAAATGCCCTACTTTTAAAACGGTCCGCCACTGGCTCCGATGTAATTGAAAATATTGCGTAATGATTGCTTGTCAACTGAGCTGATTGTCAGTAAAAGTATTCTCCAGAGAAATTCCACCAGCGTGCCATTGTGTGACTTGCCCCACGCGACGTAGTGATATGAGAGACAAATATCACACACCGGACTTCTTATACATGCGCGATAGTCCCCAGCTGTGGCAACACGCCACTACATGGAGTCACTTCCGGTTTGAAGTATGCCTGTTACATAAGCAATGCGTGTTCTCGTAGATGAATCTCTCGCAACGATAAAGTACGTGAGCAGGTGACATGTAAATATGTAAACCGGAAATACAACTGGAATGCGGTCCATGTGATAACATTTTGGGAGGAAGTACGTGGAATTTCAGACGGAATCAAAGAATGGTGCCGAAGTAGCATTAACAGGCTTCCTGGGGAACAAAGTATAAAAGTGAAGTAGCAACATCAGAAGATTAAACTTAACTTTAAAACAATCTAAACAGATCTAGAGAGTATCAAAGTACTGGAAAAACACGCTGAAACTACACAGGTCGACGACAAATGTGACATTTCAAACATCAAAAAATGAGCCGTTTGACGTTTTCGCAACCGGAGTAGAGTAAATTTCTTTTCTGCCACAATGTATTTTTTTAACATAAAATCTATTTTATATACGGAAGGCGGTTTAACATCATTACCTTTTTACGCCCTGCTTCTAATATCGAGAGGAAAGGTTCTACAGTTCAGCGCGGCCACGCTCATTCATAGCATGCGTTGGTAAGCGAGCAAGTAAATAGTGTGTTTGCAGAGTCAGCAATATTCTAGCTGTATCAGCTTCAACGGTTACTACAGCCACATCATCGACAACAGCATTATCATCTATATTTGGGTGGCTGGTTTGTTGTTTTACGCCGCACTCAGCAATATCCCAGCTATATGACGTTGGTCTGTAAATAATCGAGTGTGGACCAGACAATCCAGTGACTGATATCATGAGCATCGCTCTCCGCAATTGGGATCGATGACATGCATCAAACAAGTCAACGAGCCTGACCACCTGATCCCGTTAGTCGCCTTTTACGACAAGCATAGCCGCCTTTTACGGCAAGAATGGGTTGCTGAAGACCTATAATTCTACCCTGGATCTTCGCAGGTCTATCATCTATATTAGTTATATTGGCAAACTCAATGAGTTCAGGCCTTGATCAGGAAAACCAACTTTCCATAATGACATCTTACTTACATTTCAAGCACTGATACATTTTTGGAAAAGTGGGGTGTGGTTAAAATACAAATAAAAGCCTTCCCAGAATGGGCGAAACAGTTTGCGTTTGTCAGCCATAAATTACATGTAGTCCATTAATTGTTATTGTCGTTGAAGACATTTCAGTAATAATTTATTTTTTTATATTTTTAAATGTCAACATGATTATAAATATAGAAAAAAACGGTATATGAACATATGATTAATAACAAATATATTTTGCAATGATACAATCATTGGGGGATATTTCTATGATCACTTTTTATTTCATATGTAGAGAGGTGTTTAATAAAAAAGCACAACATATGCTAACAGTAATCAGAACTTCCGGTTTCCGTGAAACTGACACGCTGTGATATGACTAGTATACTTTTCAAAATAGCGTCCACCCCAACGCTCTCACTATCATAACCATAACCAAGTACATTGAAAACTTTCGTGAAGATATCCAATATTACGGAAGCCATTTGTTTTTTTGTATATTTTACTTAAAGTTTCAAGATACCAACTGGAAATTTCAAGATACATACGTTGAAATTTCAAGAAACTCAGCTGAAATTTCAAGATTCATAATTGAAATTTCAAGATATATACTTAGTTGAAATTTCAAGATAATGATCTTGAAAATTTAAGACAATCAGTTGAAAATTCAAGTTTATATCTTGAAATTTAAACATAACATCTTGAAATTTCAATGAAAAAATAAAAAACCAAAAATGGTCCTAAAAGGCTTCCGTACAATATTCTTTAAAAAAAAGTATATTGTTTCAATGAACTCAAATGGAATGAACTCTTGCAATGAATGAAGCACTCGCGGAACCGCCCGTGATAACAGGAAGTGCGGTAGGTTTAGGAGACATTCCTGTGGCATAATGTCACCGAGCTCCAGTACACGCTCGTTACATAACGCGCTGTAAAGAGTTCCCACAACACGATCTGCGCCAGTTGAGATAAGCTGACGCCCACCCATCTAAACCCACAAGATTACTGTTTTAAAACCAAACATTCCGCAGACGGCACCCTAGTATGGTGTTATATACTCGGTGACGTGGTCAATCACATCGTGTTGCAACTAATTATTTTTACCCAAAGACATCGTGATGTAGAAGCAGAGCAGCTGTTTTGTTAATGCTAGGATTACACTCAGTTTTTTCCAAGGAGCAGTTGTTATGTAAATAGTTTGTTGTCAAACTGTTTCTCGCCAGTTTTAGTTTATTGACCTTTCGTCCTTATTTGGTTTGAAACGCATACGCCCGTTTTTTCTCTTTCTATTTTCCCTGACGACTCCAATGTGAGACAGGGCTCATACGTCATTACAAGCAATTAGTCGTTTTAAGAAACGCGATTTATTGCTTCTACGTGCCTGGTGTTGTTTTCTGTAAGCCATATGCTTCTTCCCCCGAACTAATGGTTCCATTGATCAATGTTGGCAGTTAATGCTTTGCAAAGATTGACTGAAAAAAGTATAAGGCGGATTCAGAAAAGGAGGGGACACTTTTTGAGTTCTTAACTTCAGTGTGTTCGAATGTGCGTGCGTGGGTGCGTGGTTGCGTGGTTGCGTGGGTGCGTATGTGTATATGTATATGTGTGTGCGTGTGCGTGTGCGCGTGCGGGTGCGTGTTGATACTACTGGATCCATGTTTGATTTCTAAATGGTGTCGCGCAGCCACAGGGCAGACATATTGTTAAACGCGGCGTAAAATCACACTCACTCACATCAGGACCATTATTCCTTGGAATTGTCGCCATACTGTCTGTTATTTGTTTGGTCTGCTTGTTTATTGACGCCGCACTGAGCAATATTCCAGTGATAGTTGCATTGTAAGGCTGATGACTCAGGAGTTTAACTTTTTCCGGCAAGCATGGGTTGCTGAAGACCTATCCTACCCCGGATCTTCACGGCTCTAGGAAGCATATCTCAAGTTCTCTGTGCATAGATTGTCTTATCCCTCCCACACTGAACCATGACAAACGTAGAATGAATACAAACTTCAAATCGGCTTGTAGCCGTCCCTACTTACATGTACATTTGAGCGTTTCATTTGACATAACACCACCTCTCATCATTCAGGAGGCTCGGGAGAAGTTGGCAATAATAACAAGTTGATTCAAGTCGTTTTCACACGGCTTGTTAGTCAGCTATTCCTATGATGTTTTTTACGGATCAAGAGACTATATTTATTGCTTAAAATATCAAAAATATTTTCACAGAGTGAAGTTACATGTTATAACACGAGGATAATAATACTTCCGCTCCGTGCTACCTTTTTCGGAATAAAGAGTTACCTCCCCTACCAAAGAGTTGTTTCCCTTTGTTTCCCGTCTGCTGATCTGTTCTTCTCATCAAGGGTCTTCCAGACAAGCCTGGCGTCAGGGAACACTATCAGTGACAAGGTGACTATCACTATCACTGCTGTAATGATTGGAATGGCCATATGCTGTCGCCCTGAATGTGTGAATGTGTGAATGATCCCGCTGAGAAAGAGATACCCCTCCCGCCCAAGCGTCTCTGTCACGTCGCGGTTTGAAGAGACCCATTTAAGTTGATAAAAACGTGCCATTTTATAACTGGCTTTTGTCGGACCAGTCAGTTTGTTTACAGACATTTTCAACCGAGCTTGGCAATCTTCAGAGTACTTTCCGGTGGTTATGGTTGGCCAGCTGTTTGCAAGGTCGCTACCTTGCACCGAGACATGTATTCCTACGCGCTAGACACTTTCGTAATCATACTTTGTCATGTTATAGTATGGTATCAAATAATATTCCAACACATAAGATAATATGTGTCTTAGTCTTCAATATGGCCTTACGAAATATTTTGCGTAATGTGTTTTCCTGGTTCTGTTGGTCTCTACGCTAGGAATTATTTACTGTCGCGTATGCGATATCTCATAGGCAGAAAAGGATTTTAGCCGGTGCAGTCAGTATAGGGTTTTGTATGGTGAGTGGATATTTACTCAGCTATAGCTGTGTAATCAGATATTTTTAATTTAACCTTTGAGTCTTAATATTTTTTTAAAAATCCCATCTGTGCAGACATTTTTAATTAGTTATTAAGCTTGATTAACCTTTTCAAGCATTTTTTTTAACAATCCCCCCCCCCCCAAAGACAAACACACACACTCCAAGAATATCTAATGATCGGTTCCTATTCTTAGGCTTCATTTAGTTCCAGCCTTACCATTCTTGAATTCCAGGATGCTTTTAAGGTAGCGCAGAATTCGCATGCTAGCTCAGATTTTGTAGTTAGCGTCCTCCTAGCAGATACTTTCTTTTTAAGAATTTGCATAGAATTGTTTTTAAAAAGTTGAATAAAGTTAGACTGTTGGTTTGACATACTTATGTGCTCAATAGTTTCAATTACGTTCCATTTCAGACAGAAAATGGATGTCAAATGTGAGATGCAGCGGATACGAAGACAAACTGAAATACTGCATGTTCCTGGGGTGGGGGCGCATGCGCCGTGGCTGCTATGGGAGCAGACATTCAGCTGGCGTCGTATGTCGTCCACATCCAACGACCCCAGTGTCCACGACAACAACTACTCGAGCCACGACAACAACATTGAAGAAGATTATCACGCCGAAAAAAAATCAGGCTCATAAAAAACACATACAGTATTTAATTGACAGAGACAATCGCCTACTACAAAAGTCACAACTTCAGGGAGATGCGCCGGCCGTATCGGTGAGTCGCTGCAAATCGCTTTTTAATGTATTATGCAACGCATTGTATACTGAACGAGATAGACATTTTTCGAGGTAAGGGAGTTAACTTACTGTAAAAAGTCCAGTTTCCAGCCTTGCTGAACCGGTCTGGAATTGCTGGCCTCGATCGTAGCGCCACCAGTGGCCATTACGAGTTATGTCCCTTCTGTGTCCCTCCTATTGGCCAATCAGATGCCACCTCTCATGTCACTTGTATTTGCTTCAAACGAAATAGCAGCGTCCATTCAAACGACCTGATCGATAATCAATATATATCTATATTGTGACAAAACGAGTCTCACTTCGCGAAGTGCCTCAAATCATGTGAGCACCTTTATAAGAGCATGAAAAGATTTGGAAAACATCTGTTGACGCCGAGTTGGCGGTACACATGCTTTGCAAATCCTGCAATCGATTTTTTCCTTGACAGCACAGACACATGTAGCTCTTTGGCAAAAGAAAGGGTGTATTTCGTGATCAAAATCCGTAATCACAATGAGGACCCAGGCTAGAATAGGCACCATGCAACATTTGCTGGTCGTACGAGGCCCACCAATGGATCAGGGTGCCGTTGTACAAAGCAATCTTAGCGCTAAGGTGATCGTAACTCCCATACCTTAACATAGACTTACGGCAGTCGTAGCGCTAACGTTGTTTTGTACAACGGCACACAAAACGAAAGGAAATAGTTTTCACCGCGCTGTAAATATTATCACCGCGGTAATATTTACAGCGCGGTGAAAACTATTTCCTTTCGTTTTGTGTTTTTGACATATTCATTTTAGTTTTTGACCTTTTCGTTTTGGTTTTTGACATTTCCATTTTAGTTTTTTGACATTTTCACTTCACATTTCAGCGACTCAAAAGGTACTTAAAAGTACATTTTCTATGTTTTCGGATGTTTTTATACATGATTTATCACATATTGTATGGCAGATAGTGTTAATTTGCAAAAGGTTAAGATAAAAGTAAGTTAAACATCAAAATATTGAAAAACAGACTCCATGTCCCTTATGGGCCACCGTATGTACGTGATGATTTCATCGTTAACCTGTGATGATTGGCACAACTCCAGCGATAGTAAGTAAATCGTATTATTGAATTTGTGATGATTGATATTTTCACATATAAGTATTGATATTTTTTACCTTTGTTGATTATTATTATGATTATGATTGGTGTCATCTGTACATTCAGACCAACTCCTCCGAACCGGGACTGCTCATGCGCATGGTCGGTGGCAGATACGACTGGGAAGGTCGCATAGAGGTCAAGGAGGAGCACAGCGAATGGGGTGCCATCTGTGGGGAGAAGTGGTCAATCAAAGAGGCCATGGTAGCGTGCAGGGAGATCGGTCAGACGTACGGCAAGCAAGCTCTGCAGGTGATGACGTGTGTAGGATATGTCCCCAGTGGCCTCTCCTACAGACGCTAGAGACATATATAATTATAGAAAACGACACCTTTCTTCCCTTCCCAACCCCTCATCAGATCGAGAAGCATATACCATCACCTATTCAGCTCTACTGAAATTAGAGACTTTAGGGTTCCTTTATGTGAGTGAGAGAGATTTACATAGCTCCCTTCATATTACACTGATAGGCCATGATATAACTGAACATTGTTTAGAGCTCACTGATGGTGTATCTTTCGTATCAGGCTGACACGTGAAGATCCGGGGTAGAATAGATCTTCAGCAACCCATGCTTGCCGTAGAAAGGCGACTATGCATGTCGGGTCGGTTGGTTGGGCTCGCTTGCTTGGTTGATTCGTGTCATCGCATCCCAATTGCGTGGATCGATGTTCATAATGTCAATTACTGGATTGTCTGGTCCAGACTCGATTATTAACAGACCGCCGTCATATAGCTGGAATATTGCTGAGTGCGGCGTTAAACAAACAAACAAACAAACAAACACTGATGGTGTAGCGGCGTTCACCATGTGTGTGACCAATGCATATGTACATTATACAGGTGAACTATTTCGGCGGGGAGAACCTGGATAAACACTACTATCAGATCAAGTGTAAGGGACGGGAGATGCGGCTGGACCAGTGTGAGAAGATTCGGACAGACGTCGGGGTCACATGTTCCAAACCCAATCTTGTTGCTGGCATCGTGTGCACTCACCGTAAGTAAAAGAAAAGCCACGACGCTCTTCAAACGTAAGTAGAGAAAAGTCACGACACTCTTCAGACTAAAAGAATAGCCACAACACTCTCAGTGTTCGCAAAGACTATATAATTACGTATATGTTTGGAATTAAGTGGTAAAAAGTTCACAAGAGCATGTTTAATAATTTCGGCTACCTATTTATTTTATATTGACCTTAAGTCAAATCATAATATGCGCAACCTATCAGAGTGTGTGAGTTTTTTCGGAGCTTTGAACAGTATTTCAGTTATATCACGGCGTGTTAGCTCCATGCGGGGGGAAAGCCAAAGTTCTGCAGGTCTTACATGTTAACCACAATTGTGAAAACCAAGGGCATGGTGCTGGCAAAGTATCATTATCAGCGCGAATCTGGGATTCGAACCCATGGTTATCGATGGGCCTTTGACTATTTGCCCGTGTCTCCTTCATGTGCCACATGTACTGACAACGTCACAAATGCTCCTCATTCGCTCACAACCACAGTAAAGAGGATCCATGTTCCACGACATGTTGCCAATTGAAAACTAAGCCATTTTCATACACTATTGGCATATACGAAAAATACACGATTAATATCCGATTAATATATAAGTTCGTATTGTGTGGATTTTAGTGAATCTGTTGAATCTTGCCGAGGCAGCCAAGAGGTCATAGTCCCGTTCTACAAAGCGATCTACTACACCTGTCGTGAAGTATGGGAGTTAGATCATCTTAACGCTACGATCGCTTAGTGGAGCGGGGCTCTGATCGTAGCTCCTATTTAACACGAGCCATTAACATCGATGTTCGCCCCTCCATACTTTATTCAATCTCCTAGGTCTCCCCGACCTCATCCCTGACCTTGAGATCCTGGAGGAATCTGTGAGACTGGCAGACCGGCCCCTATACTACCTGCAGTGTGCCATGGAGGAGAACTGTCTGGCGGCCTCCGCCGCAGTGATCCGAAACACAAGCAAAAGTAAGAAAGCTTCTTTTAAACACCATTTAAGAAACTAGGTCATTAACGTCGTACACTGTGGTCCGAAACACAAGCAAAAGTAAAAAACCTTCTTTTAAACACCATTCAAGAAATTGAAGTCATTAACTTCGTACGCTGTGGTCCGAAACACAAGCAAAAGTAAGAAACCTTCTTTTAAACACCATTCAAGAAATTGAAGTCATTAACATCGTTCACTGTGGTCCGAAACACAAGCAAAAGTAAGAAACCTTCTTTTAAACACTATTCAAGAAATTGAAGTCATTAACGTCGTACACTGTGGTCCGAAACACAAGCAAAAGTAAGAAACCTTCTTTAAACACCATTCAAGAAATTGAAGTCATTAACGTCGTTCACTGTGGTCCGAAACACAAGCAAAAGTAAGAAACCTTCTTTTAAACACCATTCAAGAAATTGAAGTCATTAACGTCGTTCGCTGTGGTCCGAAACACAAGCAAAAGTAAGAAACCTTCTTTTAAACACCATTCAAGAAATTGAAGTCATTAACGTCGTTCGCTGTGGTCCGAAACACAAGCAAAAGTAAGAAACCTTCTTTTAAACACTATTCAAGAAATTGAAGTCATTAACGTCGTTCACTGTGGTCCGAAACACAAGCAAAAGTAAGAAACCTTCTTTTAAACACCATTCAAGAAATTGAAGTCATTAACGTCGTACGCTGTGGTCCGAAACACAAGCAAAAGTAAGAAACCTTATTTTAAACACCATTCAAGAAATTGAAGTCATTAACGTCGTTCACTGTGGTCCGAAAAACAAGCAAAAGTAAGAAACCTTCTTTTAAACACCATTCAAGAAATTGAAGTCATTAACGTCGTTCACTGTGGTCCGAAACACAAGCAAAAGTAAGAAACCTTCTTTTAAACACCATTCAAGAAATTGAAGTCATTAACGCCGAACACAAAGAGAATCACACCCTCGTGTCAAATATACCAACACGATTCCATTAAAGTTTAAAACTCCGAGGCTGGCATTTTATTGACTCGTGTTAACATATTTGATATTAAAAGACACGAGGGTGAGATTCTATTGATCATCCAAAATTAATTTACCAACTATTTCAGTTTGTAAACAGTATTAACCAGTGTCTTGAATGTAAAAAGTACATACACTTCAAAGGCAGAGATATTAGTGATGTCTTGTGTTGTGACGTCATGATAACGATGACGTCAAAATGGGCAGCAAAGCATTGGGCTGCAATTTCATTGCAGATATATATAGGAGATATCGCTTGATCACACCCAAGCGATATCCCCTGTGGAAGCAAGTTTTTGGATGATAAATGTACATATCATCCTTAGAAAGGAATGCAACATTTTGAGTGGTTGAAGAAGCTGATCATACAGCGAACCGTTCTTACTTTGGACATGGAAGCCAATCAGCCATGAAACGAGGCCTGCCTCAAACGTCAGAAAAATAAGAAAAAGTGAGTGACTGAGTGAGTAAGGTTTTACACCGTTTTAAGCAATATCACGGCGGGAGACACCGGAAAATGGGCTTCACACATTATACCCATGTGGGGAATCAAACCCGGGTCTTCGGCGTGACGAGCCAACGCTAGGCTATTACTAAGCTACCCCATCGCCCCTTAATAAGAAAAAACGTACAATTATCCATGTAAGTCAGTTAATATCTAGTATTAAAACGTATCTGCTGTTACATGTGTCAAAATAAATAACGTTGAGTGATTTTGGCAACATCTGTATCTATGGAGTGAATAAGTCCCATAACAAATTTAATCAGGCTGGAAAGCTACACGTGAATGTAAATAAACTGAACAACACGCTCAAGCACACAACTCGCCTGAGTGAGTGAGTTGGGATTAGCGCCGCTTTTAACAGTATTCCAGTTATATCACGGCGTGTCAGCTTAATATGGGAGGAAAGCCCGAAGTGATGCAGGTCTCAGACGTTTACCACTTCGGTGAAACCCACGAGCACGGGTATGGTGCTGACAAACCTAGAAACATAATCGGGGCGAACCGGGATTCGAACCCACAATCATAGGTTTCTGGCGTGCCCAAGGGACGCAACTCTGCACAGCGAATCGCGGCGCCTTAGACGACTGGGCCACCCGTGCCCCCGTAACTCGCCCGAGGCAGTGGTACAATGATGTTGTGGTTTGTTGTTATTCAGTATGTGAGATGCGGAGGCGTTTGAACTATGCGTGAATGGCATGACTGTTGTTTGACAAGCGTTACCAAGGACATCTTGTATCTGCAGACTGGCACGCTCACAACAGACGTCTGCTGCGGTTCTCAACAGTCGTCCACAACGAGGGTCTCGAGGACTTCCGCCCATACAGAGCCAAGTCGGCGTGGGAGTGGCATGAATGTCACATGTAAGTCACGTGATATATATCGTTCTGTGGTTTCAATGAATGTCACATGTAAGTCACGTAATATATATATCGTTCAATGGTGTAAATGTCACATGTAAGTCACGAGATATATATCGTTGAGTGGCATGAATGCCACACGTAAGTCACGTGATATATATCGTTGTGTGGTTTGAATGTCACATGTACGTCACGTGATAAATATCGTTGAGTAGCATGAATGTCACATGTAAGTCACGATATATATGTCGTTGAGTGGCAGGAATGCCACACGTAAGTCACGTGATATATATCGTTGTGTGGTTTGAATGTCACGTAGTAAATATCGTTGAGTAGCATAAATGTCACATGTAAGTCACGTGATATATGTATCGTTCAGTGGTGTAAATGTCACATGTAAGTCACGTGATGCATATCGTTGAGTGGTTTGACACATATAAGCCAAGTGATCTATAATTGTTGAGCGGCATGAATGTCACATGAGCGTCACATGAAACAACAATACGCGCCATAAAGGTCAAATGTAGGTCACAAGATACAAAACGATCCAATATCAAAAGTATTAAGAGAATAATCACCAGAGAATAATCAGTCTGCCGAAACCGATTTCATAGAGCAAGTAAGGCCATTTTCCCGGACAAGGGCGTTCACTGACCGTGGAAACTGGACTTTTTATAGTCAGTTAAATTCCCTTGACTCGGGAAGATGAGGATCAGCCGCTAGAGTTAGTGATTGAGTTTGGTTTTACGCCGCTTTTAGCAATATTCCAACAGCATCACGGGGGACCCAGCAATGGGTTTCACACATTGTACACATATAGGGAATGGAACCCGTCTGCTTCTAGAGGAACGTGTGTACTATTTAAGTACATATTGTAGTCGCATGGCGAGTATTGAGAATCGGTTGGTCACAGCGTGTGTTCTAGTTGATTGTGTGTAACTTTACCCCGCCGGAGTGGGTCGATGCTCACGATGTCAGCCATTGGTTGTCGGGCTCAGAACAGGCCACGTGGGTAAATATGGAGCACTGCTGATTCCAACATAAAAAAAACAGTCTCTCACGCATCATCTTTAAATGCCGTTACGTATATGAGTAAGTGAGTAAGTTGGGTTTTAACGCCGCTCTTAACATTCTTCCAGTTATGTCGGGGGGCGGTCGGGTAGCCTAATGGTTAAAGCGTTTACTCGTCACGCCGGGTTCGATTCCCAACATGGGTACCATGTGTGAAGCCCATTTCTGGTGTCCCCCGCCGTGAAATTGCTGGAATATTGCTAAAAGCGGCGTTAAACCATACTCACTCACTCACTAACTCCAGTTATGTCAGCTTAATGTGGGAGGAAAGCCCGAAATGATGCAAGTCTCAGACGTTTACCACTTCGGTGAAACCCATGAGCACCGGTAGGTTGCTGTAAACATAATCCGGGCGAACCGGGATTCGAACCCCCAATCATAGGTTTCTATTTCTAGAGACGCAATTGGGCACAGTGAATTGCCTTAGACAACTGTGCCACCCGTGCCCCCTCGCGTATATAATTATGTGCACATGTACAATGCGCTAGATCCACGCCCTAAAGCCTTCTCAAAGCGCTACATCATTACACGGTCAATGGATCAACGTGCGATTTCCATTCTCAGCTCCCTGGGGAGTATACAATATGTATATGATGATGGTATATATAATTAATTTATAAATAACCTCATTAATCACCATGCTGTCACAGTGTCAATAATATCATGATCAATTTAAATCTGAACTCTCTGTGGTTGGCTCTTCCCGCCGTCGACGGACAGCTGTGTTGAGAAACAGGTGTACGTGTGTTCTCGTGTTCTCGTTCCACAATTGCCACCAGATCGATCAGCCCGCGTTCCAGATGTCCCGACTGAAATGTTACAGTTCGCATTGTGTCGCCAGCAATAGTCGTAACCCATCATAATGTCCGCCTCAGGTCGAATTCCGTCGCTAACACTACTTCTGCGCATGCGTCGTGACCTTGCAGCTTCCGACACATGGGCAGAACCGTTCTCCGGTAGCTGAGGGTTATTATTGCACAAAGAAGTATCTAAGTGTTATACACGGTCTGAAAGGAAACATCCTTCTCCCCCAGAACCAGACTGAACACATTGGACTGCAAGAAGGTTGTCGCCGGTCACAGTGTCCCCACCTTGTCCCCATAGTTTTCTTGCCATATTTGCCATCAGTTTTTTAAAACCATGTGCGCACTGTGCAGTATCACGGACTTGTATAGGTCCGTGGCAGTATGTACGGCGATGAGTTAGACTTCATGTGCCAGGTTGCTTAAAAGAATGATACATGTGCCTTTCTACTAAATCTTATCCATTTCTACTCTTCTGACGTTTATACCTTTTTGCATTCGAAAATTTCGACACCACGGATTTTTCTCTTCTCGGCGATTCAGAGTTTGATTTGAAAATTAGAATCTGTAAAATTAAATAGTGAGTGAGTGAGTTTGGTTTAACGCCGCTTTTAACAGTATTCCAGTTATATCACGGCGTGTCAGCTTAATGTGGGAGGAAAGCCCGAAGTGATGCAGGTCACTTCGGTGAAACCCACGAGCACGGGTATGGTGCTGACAAACCTAGAAACATAATCGGGGAGAACCGTGATTCGAACCCACAATCATAGGTTTCTGGCGTGCCCAAGGGACGCAACTCTGAACAGCGAATCGCGGCGCCTTAGACGACTGGGCCACCCGTGCCCCCGTAATATTAAATAAGTGGACCATTATTTCCGACCTTGATGGGATTCGAACCTATAATCTTCGGCTCCGGAGGCCGACGCTTTGTCCATTAGGCCACAAGGTCGATGCAAGTATATAATTATGGAAGACATTTAGTCAAATCTATCTAAAGACGATGATATCTTTCGTGATGATTACGAATGTTATAATAGTCATCAATTTTTTTTTTAAACAATTATTCTCCTTATAGTGTTATCATTACCAAAGTTGTTTTACTAGCTGCTGGTGTTTTTATCATCGCTATATGCCGATGCTCATTCGTCATCACTCGCCCCTTTCCGTAACCTGCAAGAAGACTCGTCCCCCAATTGATGAATGTTATGTGCGACAATACGACAAACCAATCAGAATGCGCGTATGACTTCAAGTACGTCGGTCAAAGAAACCCTCATTTTTTTAATATACACAAGTCTTACATCTAAAAATATACCCAAGATACAGTTAAATGTGTTCAATCATACTGTATAAATACCGCCAGTCCCGATGTGTTTTAAATAGCATCTGGAATATATATTAAATGGGGGAAATATACGTGAATCATTACGCAACGAGTTGACAATTCTTTTTACTATGTCCGTTTGCGCCCACCCAGTGGCAAATAACCACGAGAGGGGCACGAGTCGCTATTCGGCTTGTCCCGAATAACATGAGTTGGTCCCAAATGTGCCGATGTATAATGTTAACTCGCTCACCTCTGTGAGTTGCCGCCCTTTTCACAAGCCTCAGGACTGAAATTTACGTACGACAATCTAGCGGTGCGTCCGGACCTGGTAATACTCTCTCATAACATGATGTTTGATTTTCGAAAAATCACTTTGTTGGTTGTCTCGAATCCCTGACACCTCGAACTTTTCCCCAGGTCCCACAGGTCGACACAACGAGGTTAGACTGTATTATCATCCTTTTTGCTGCTGTCATTTGTGTCATTATTGCTGTTGAGAGCGTCTGTCCGGATAGCGGAAGGTCGATGTCTCGATTCCCTGGCTGCGTCATAACAAAGGGAGTTGGTGGTGGTGGGGCTAACGTACAAAAGTCCAGCCTAGTACAAACATACACATCATCATCATCATCATCATCATCTTCTTTATAATAATTAAAATTATTATTATTATTTAGGCATTATCACAGTATGGAGGTTTTTGCGCACTACGACGTAATCGACGAGCACGGCAACAGGCTAGCGGAAGGTCAGAAGGCCAGCTTCTGCCTGGAGGACTCGGCTTGTCAGGATGGAGTGGTGCCCAAGTTCGACTGTGTGGGCTTCCGAGACCAAGGTGGGTAGAGGGCAGGGCTGGAGTGGTGTCCAGATTGAACAGGGTGGGCTTCCGAGATCAAGGTGGGTGAAGGGCAGGGCTGGATTTGTGTCCAGGTTGAACAGGGTGGGCTTCCGAGATCAAGGTGGGTAGAGGGCATGGGTGGAGTGGTGTCCAGGTTGAACAGGTTTGGCTTCCGAGATCAAGGTGGGTAGGGAGCAGATGTGGAGTGCTATCAAGATTGAACAGGGTGGGCTTCCGAGATCAGGGTGGGTAGAGGGCAGGTGTGGAGCGGTGTCCAGATTGAACAGGTTTGGCTTCCGAGATCAAGGTGGGTAGGGGGCAGGTGTGGAGTGGTGTCCAGATTGAACAGGTTTGGCTTCCGAGATCAAGGTGGGTAGGGAGCAGATGTGGAGTGCTATCAAGATTGAACAGGGTGGGCTTCCGAGATCAGGGTGGGTAGAGGGCAGGTGTGGAGCGGTGTCCAGATTGAACAGGTTTGGCTTCCGAGATCAAGGTGGGTAGGGGGCAGGTGTGGAGTGGTGTCCAGATTGAACAGGTTTGGCTTCCGAGATCAAGGACGGTAGGGGACAGGTGTGGAGTGGTGTCCAGGTTGAACAGGTTTGGCTTCCGAGATCAAGGTGGGTAGAGGGGATGGGTGGAGTGGTGTCCAGGTTGAACAGGTTTGGCTTCCGAGATCAAGGTGGGTAGGGAGCAGATGTGGAGTGCTATCAAGATTGAACAGGGTGGGCTTCCGAGATCAGGGTGGGTAGAGGGCAGGTGTGGAGTGGTGTCCAGATTCAACAGGTTTGGCTTCCGAGATCAAGGTGGGTAGGGGGCAGGTGTGGAGTGGTGTCCAGATTGAACAGGTTTGGCTTCCGAGATCAAGGTGGGTAGGGGGCAGGTGTGGAATGGTGTCCAGGTTGAACAGGTTTGGCTTCCGAGATCAAGGTGGGTAGAGGGGATGGGTGGAGTGGTGTCTAGGTTGAACAGGGTGGGCTTCCGAGATCAAGGTGGGTAGGGAGCAGATGTGGAGTGCTATCAAGATTGAACAGGGTGGGCTTTGGGCTTCCGAGATCAGGGTGGGTAGAGGGCAGGGATGTACAATATCAGCATGGTGGTGGTCTCTGCGACTTGTTTGGTTGGAAACTCATTGGTGCTTTTACGGCGCTTCAATAAGTTCGCACCCAATTTGCATATGAGCGACAGCCTAGGCTTTTATTCCCATTCACTCGTGGGTTGATGAATAAATTTGATTAAAGTCACTTTAAACAACGATTACTTAGATACGTCATATCAAATCCATGTGGCATGGAAACCTTATATGACGATTGGCAGATAATGCCACAAGCAATGGTCTTGACAGACCAAGGATCATAATTTGGGATAACGATTTAACGCTAATCGGATCCTTGCATGGCTAAGTGAAGCGAACTGTAGCGATCTAGATCATTAAATATACAATGATAGCTGAGGTATAGCTCTCTCCTTTAGGGTTACGTGTTCACCTGGGCACCGTTCCACAAAGCGATCTTAGCGCTACGACTATCGTAAGCCAGTGTTAAAGTATGGGAGCTACGATCACCTTAGCGCTATGTGGAACGGGGCCCTGACATTTAATCTTCTGCTTCAGGATTGTCCGTCAACTGCTCCGACAACTACATGTACGACATCGACTGTCAGTGGATCGACATCACCGGCATCAAACCCGGACAGTACAGGTTCCAGGTGAGAGGTCGTCTACATAACCAAGTGTGTGAGTGAGTTGGATTTACAACGCCAGTTTGAACAGTATTCCAGTTACATAACGGCGTGGCATCTTCATGTGGGAGGAAAGCCCGAAGTCTCAGACATTTACTACTTCGGTGATACTCACGAGCATGTGTATGTTGCTGACAACAACGAAACATAAACGGGACGAACCGGGATTCGAACCCACTCATTGTTTCTGGTTTACTCAAGGGACGCAACCTCGCACAGCGAATTGCAGCGCCTCAGATGACAGGGCCACCCTTAATAATACGAACAGCTGGTGTCTTTGCAATTCCATACAGTTATTGTATTCAATGCAGCTATTATTTGTTGAATTAACCTGTGTCATATGAATGTGTAATTTTGTAATTTCCATGTGAGACCGCCTCCGTGGTATAGTGGTAGAGCGTCTGCCCGGAGAGCGAAAGGTCCGGGGTTCGATCCCTGGCCACGTCATACCATACTGTTTAAAGTTGGTACTTGTTGTTACCCTGTCTGGCGCTCGGCATTAAAGGGCTAAAACAAGGACTGATCGGCTCGGAGTCAGTAAACTGTGTCTGAGTGGGGTATCCATGTTAAATTGAATCATGGTATCTCAGTGTACTAGCACTATAAAATCGGCATCAGTCCGGACTAGTACAAGCAGCCACACACACACACACACACACACACACACACACACACACACACACACACGTGCATGTACGTCGCTATATAAGTGCACTAATCTTGGACACGAATGTTACACCCCATTTCACCTCACCTCACCTTTTACATATGATACACAGTATTGTCAATTCTTATGACAGCCATGTACAAGCGTTCCCTCGTCTTGTAGAAGACCCGGGTTATCTCCCCTACATAGGAGCAATATATGTAAAACTATAATCACTCAATTTCTCGCCCTACAAAACTTCTGCATTGATCATACTCGTCACAAATGGCTTCATTTAGGCCACAATAGAGAACGAAGCGCACCTAAAATATCCTCGTTAATGCTCGGTCGCAAGGTTATCGTTCAGGTTTGAACACGATCGTGTTTCCTTCGTTTCCTTTCCTCGTTTTGGGACTCAGCGTTACCCAACCTGTTCTGACTTAAAAAAGAACAACTAGAAACACACACAGTACCCCATTGTACTTTGCTGTAGAAGAACACCCTTGTTTAACCCCACTATACTTGATTGCAGAAAGAGGAGATACTGAGACGACGCGCCTCATTCACGCCGGTTGAGTTTCCTAACGAACTGATCGTGTGTTTAGCCATGACACGACCCACTCGAACCCCCAATTTATGTCAAGATGTAGAAAATATAAAAAAAACACTTTGTTTATGTACTCGCGAGATAAGAAACAGGATGCTTTCTTTATTATATTTTCAGATTTCTTTGTTAAGTGGCCAACTGATAGCCGTCTGATAACGCGGCCTACACGATTTTTAAAACTTTATTTATAAGACAATGCAATATAACACATGTTGCCCTGGTGTTAGTTTGCAATAAATGTTATAACAGAGGGTTTTGTCTTTTAATCTTCTGTAAAATGAAGGTTGGGACATGCATCTTGTCTCTTTCGGTCCATAATAGTCTATGAACGTATTATAATTGGACAATGGGGACCATCTATGAAATATATACATATTTTGTTATTTGGAACCGACGAGTTTGTTCTCAAGGTTGTAGTAACGCAGTGAGAATGTGCAAAAGGAAAGACTCAGTTCAGAAAACTTGTGGCAAATGTTGATAATGTATTCGTGTGCATATATAGATTCAAAACTATTGTGTTGTGAATGTGATACATGTTTTCAAAGTTGTTGTTTAGCGTCGTAGTTAGCAGTATTCCAGCTATATGACGACGGACTGTAAACAATCGAGTCTGGACCAGACAATCTAGTGATACGATGATACATGCAATCAACCAAGTCATCGAGACTGACCACCTCATTCAATTTGCTCTCACAACAAGCATTGGTTACTTGGGGCGTATTCAAACCATCGGACATAGGTTACTTGGGGCGTATTCAAACCATCGGACATAGGTTACTGGGGGCGTATTCAAACCATCGGACATAGGTTACTGGGGGCGTATTCAAACCATCGGACATAGGTTACTGGGGGCGTATTCAAACCATCGGACATAGGTTACTTGGGGCGTATTCAAACCATCGGACATAGGTTACTAGGGGCGTATTCAAACCATCGGACATAGGTTACTGGGGGCGTATTCAAACCATCGGACATAGGTTACTTGGGGCGTATTCAAACCATCGGACATAGGTTACTGGGGGCGTATTCAAACCATCGGACATAGGTTACTGGGGGTGTATTCAAACCATCGGACATAGGTTACTTGGGGAGTATCCAAACCATCGGACATAGGTTACTTGGGGCGTATTCAAACCATCGGACATAGGTTACTTGGGGCGTATTCAAACCATCGGACATAGGTTACTGGGGGCGTATTCAAACCATCGGACATAGGTTACTAAGGACGTTCTAACCAAGCATGGGTGAGTGGGGACCGTTCCTAACCACCAAGCATATAGTATTCGGACATATTCTAACCACCAAAGATATATTTCTGGGGACTTTAACCATCAAGAATATGTCAATAGAGACCTATTCTAGCCACCAAGCCTCGGTTACTGGGGATCTATTCTAGAAAGCAAACATCGATTACTTGGACATATTCTAATTACCATGTTAAGGTTACTGGGGACCTTTTCAAACCATCAAGCATAGGTCACTTGGACCTATTCTAACGATCAAACATCAGTTACTTGGACCTATTCTGATCCAGTGCTCCCACGGATCGAACTTTTTCACAAATTCAATTTCATCTCCACAGATGGAGGTGAACCCAACCCTGATGGTGGCTGAATCGGACTTTGACAACAACGTTGCGTCGTGCGAACTCTGGTACTCCGGCTACAACGCCAGAATATTCAACTGCGAGTTCCAAAGTTTACTTTCAGACTGATTACGTCACTTCCGCTCATGCGCACTGTGATTCTGGAATCTTCCGGCGACAGCGTTTGTAGACGAATTACTTTAGGTATATCCGGTTCAGGTAGATGTCGTTTATTGATTAAATCCATTGTATTTGTTTCACGTGTATCATTTTGTGTCGATGTATACCTGCAATTGAAAAGGATTAGAATGATTTTGTTAAACTAATCATGGAAAATTTAGTTACTGACGTGTACAAAGTATGTATGTTAATCATCCACTGAATAGACTATACCGCAGACTGGCATTAAATGCTGGTTTGTGTACGTATGCATTGTATGAATATACTCAGCGAAGTAAATAACGAATCGCTTTCTTCTTCATTCAATTATGGAATATACTTAACTGAACGAAACAAATATGCTTACATTATATGAGAACATTAACGATATGGCAAGGACCACGTTTGACCTAAGAGAATTGACATATTAAAATGTTACGAAGCAAAACAAAACGTGACGTGTTAATATTATGGACTCTAAATTTTCTAAATAACATTTTTTTGACCAGTTGCACCAACACCAGTGTACTTGTGTAAATGTATAAGAGATTTAGAGATTTTAGAAGTCATTGATGAAAGCAACGACATTGCACAAGTGACAATTTCATTTAGGGGCAAGAGCTTGCTCGAGTCAAGTTAAATACATCGATATTTTTAAACACACTATTATACATTCATACTTGTTTTATAAGTCCAAATGTTACAAGTATTTAAAGAAAGGTATTTTATCATATAATGGATAGCGTTATAACGATCCGATATCTATGCAAATTAGTCACCTGGAAGGAACTACTTTTTTGCTTCAGACGTCGATGTAGTATCTGCGTCATCAGTATGTTATTGACCGACGTTCCAAATACACTTAAACCAAACCTGGCTGCAAATCATTTGGTACTGTACGATAATCGGGGCAAACATTGTATTCATACGCGGTGACCAAAGTTACTTGATTGACTGAAAATACGTCTAAAACATCGATTATTTTAAGAACGACCCTATATGATTATTTCTGACACTCATATGTTTATACACGGAAACACCCGGCTAATACTCTCTATTCATCACAATGTTTTAAAGTTTTCCACATTTGTCAATTAAAGTGGGTAAAAAGGCTTTATGGTTACAACCCGGGTCGTCTAGAAGAAAAAAATGTCTTTTTGTTTCAATTTCGTGCATCCCTGTTCACAGTAAAATGGGTTGATCCACATGCTTACTTTGTCTAACCAGCAATGTCATTCATCCCTGACTATACCTGGGTTTGTCCAATTGCTACTGTTTACCTATTTTTCAAAAATTAGACGAAGCGGGTTGATACCTTCACAATACCAAGCCCATTAATAATTTTCAGTTCATCGTTATGCAATTCATACCAAAGATGTTGTTCTTCACATAAGCCATGGATCGGTTGTATTTTAGTCCAAATAAAAGTGAATGTTCAAAGTCATGGTGTACATGTAGCTTTTTCAATTCCAACTTTCTGAAGAAACGTCGCAAGAAAACCACATCTGTTGAGTGAGAATATACCAGTGCTTTTGTTTATGAGGTTGGTGGATCGTAAATAAGCCATTGAGGACAACGACGTGCAGCCAATGTCGTTTATTCAGTTCACAGTTATGCACGACCGCACAGCAGCACTCGCATTTGGAATAGCATATAGCGGCCCTTACCGAACAACCTACTTGAAATACGTATAAGAAAACCTATCGCCGCCCCATGGTGTCCCATACCCTGTTTTCTATTCAACTTGGAGATAGGACAATGTTATTAAGAAGAGAGAAGATGTGCATATTTGGTTGGAATCAGTTGCTTCCCGCTACACACTCGTCTGTCTCCCAGACCCTATTGTAGTAAAATTTAAAGAAAGAGTCCAACTCAAGTCTAGAGTGTTTTGGCAAGTCTAGATTGCCTCAGTCTGAAATTAAGGATTGTTCTGGGCTCCATTTGGACTCACACACAGACACACACACATAGACACACACACATAGACACACACACAACACATAGACACACACACACAACACACACACACACACACACACACACACACACACACACACACACACACACACACACACACACACACACACACACGTAGTATTGGGTAATCCATACATTTCTAAACATATTTAAAATTACCTGGCAGAAGAACGTTTACAATTCGACCAAAATATTACAAACGTTATCAACACGTTACTAGGTTGAAAATACCCGTTTCAAACACCACCATTCTTGTTGGTCACATTTTAAGCCACCATCAAACAATGGGAGTATACTTTCTTTGCCCGGCCGTTTAAATATTGAAGGTTAATCCATACATTTCGAAACTTATCTCGTGAGCAAAATGTTTCCACCCAACCTAAGGGAGCAAGGATCACTAAGACTGTTTGTTGTTCTCGTGTTACAGTAAATTAAGAAATCAAAAAAATATTTATTTTAATATGGCTAATGTAGTTCCAGTATAACAAATATTAACACAAAAACAACCAAGGCATCAACGTTAACTCAGCACTTTTCCAGACTTTATCCTTGACGATATCAGAAACATCTTGGTTTAGCGACACCGTTGGTGACCTAACACGAACATATATTTTTCTCGAAAAGGCAATTTGTTGTGTTATCAGCACAGATAGTCATGGTTGATGATAGCGCCGCCAGCTGGGCAATGCTAGGAGAAACTTTCAACCAGACCTGACGTCTTCATACGACATGGCATGGACACAGCTGGTCTGGAGAGCCACGCCCCAGCACTGCAGCATCACTCCCCCCGCATCACTACGGCTAGGGTTGGTGTCGGGGATACACGAGGGCCACAGTGAGACGGATGTTCGATATTGCCTATTTATCATCAAATAAAGAGTGTGTGTACCTCGCTATGTCAGGGCAGAGTATGTACGGCGCTATGCCGTAGAAAGAAATCTCTGGAGAAATTTCGAGTTGGCATGGTCAAAAATATATTTGTTCTAAATATTATTGAATCCTAGAAGGGATATTGTCGATTTGTTAAATCGAATATGTAGGGTAAAATCAGAAAATCGACCAGGCAACCAATGAATATTTTATGGAATCCTTGAAGGGACTTTGTCGCATTATCGCATTTACAAAAACAAGCAAAAAGTGTCAAAATTAACATAAGCGCGACAATGTGTCTTCTCGGATTCCATAAAATATTCATCGGTTGCCTGGTCGACTTTCTGATTGCCGATTGATTAGCATGAGATATAAATGTTCAAATCTTACCCTCCATATTCTATTTAAGACAAGTTTCTACTTACATTAATTTTATAGATATTAGTTAATAAACGCCAAAACGTCGAATTCGTGGTGTACGGTGAATCTGAGATACTGGAGTACAAAACCTTCCATCTGTATTACGTCATGGTTTGACAACGTAACAATTTGACATCACTTTTCTATTGTGACGTAACAGGAGGTATCCTCTCCAGCACACTGATTATATTTATTATTCTAAGATGCTTCTCTAACCCATCAAAGCTACCGACAGTACTTTATCGTTCGAAGGGATGTTCCCTGATGTTAAGACGGTGTCAAATATTAATACGATTTTCAAATTAAAACCCCATTAACCTAAATAATGCTTTATGATGACTCAGGAAAATAAACAAGATCTCATCCTCGTGTATTTTGACAACAAATATATCGACGCTCGTTGATTGAAGTAGGAATTCAGCCTCGACCACCCTCAGAGTTTTCCTCTTTAAATCGACTCGTGGGGCGCTATGTCAGAGAAAAGTATGGTCACGGCACCATATCGGGGTGGAGTGTGTGTACGGCGCTCTGTCAGGGTGGAGAGTGTGTACGGCGCTATGTCAGGGTGGAGAGAGTGTGTACGGCGCTATGTCAGGGTGGAGAGTGTGTAAGGCGCTATGTCAGGGTGGAGAGTGTGTACAGCGCTATGTCAGTGTGGAGAGTGTGTAAGGCGCTATGTCAGGGTAGAGAGTGTGTACGGCGCTCTGTCAGGGTGGAGAGTGTGTACGGCGCTATGTCAGGGTGGAGAGAGTGTGTACGGCGCTATGTCAGGGTGGAGAGTGTGTACGGCGCTATGTCAGGGTGGAGAGAGTGTGTACGGCGCTATGTCAGGGTGGAGAGTGTGTAAGGCGCTATGTCAGGGTAGAGAGTGTGTACGGCGCTATGTCAGGGTGGAGAGCGTGTAAGGCGCTATGTCAGGGTGGAGAGTGTGTACGGCGCTATGTCAGGGTGGAGAGTGTGTACGGCGCTATGTCAGGGTGGAGAGTGTGTACGGCGCTATGTCAGGTTGGAGAGTGTGTACGGCGCTATGTCAGGGTGGAGAGTGTGTACGGCGCAATGTCAGGGTAGAGAGTGTGTACGGCGCTATGTCAGAGTGGAGAGTGTGTACGGCGCTATGTCAGGGTGGAGAGTGTGTACGGCGCTATGTCAGGGTGGAGAGTGTGTACGGCGCTATGTCAGGGTAGAGAGTGTGTACGGCGCTATGTCAGGGTGGAGAGTGTGTACGGCGCTATGTCAGGGTGGAGAGTGTGTACGGCGCTATGTCAGGGTGGAGAGAGTGTACGGCGCTATGTCAGGGTGGAGAGTGTGTACGGCGCTATGTCAGGGTGGAGAGTGTGTACGGCGCTTTGTCAGGGTAGAGAGTGTGTACGGCGCTATGTCAGGGTGGAGAGTGTGTACGGCGCTATGTCAGGGTGGAGAGTGTGTACGGCGCTATGTCAGGGTGGAGAGTGTGTACGGCGCTTTGTCAGGGTGGAGAGTGTGCACGGCGCTATGTCATGGTGGAGAGTGTGTACGGGGCAATGTCAGGGTGGAGAGTGTGTACGGCGCTATGTCAGGGTAGAGAGTGTGTACGGGGCTATGTCAGGGTGGAGAGTGTGTACGGCGCTATGTCAGGGTGGAGAGTGTGTACGGCGCTATGTCAGGGTGGAGAGTGTGTACGGCGCTATGTCAGGGTGGAGAGTGTGTACGGCGCTATGTCAGGGTGGAGAGTGTGTACGGCGCTATGTCAGGGTAGAGAGTGTGTACGGCGCTATGTCAGGGTGGAGAGTGTGTACGGCGCTATGTCAGGGTGGAGAGTGTGTACGGCGCTATGTCAGGGTGGAGAGAGTGTACGGCGCTATGTCAGGGTGGAGAGTGTGTACGGCGCTATGTCAGGGTGGAGAGCGTGTACGGCGCTTTGTCAGGGTAGAGAGTGTGTACGGCGCTATGTCAGGGTAGAGAGTGTGTACGGCGCTATGTCAGGGTGGAAAGTGTGTATGGCGCTATGTCAGGGTGGAGAGTGTGTACGGCGCTATGTCAGGGTAGAGAGTGTGTACGGCGCTATGTCAGGGTGGAGAGTGTGTATGGCGCTATGTCAGGGTGGAGAGTGTGTATGGCGCTTTGTCAGGGTGGAGAGTGTGTATGGCGCTATGTCAGGGTAGAGAGTGTGTACGGCGCTATGTCAGGGTGGAGAGTGTGTATGGCGCTTTGTCAGGGTGGAGAGTGTCTATGGCGCTATGTCAGGGTGGAGAGTGTGTACGGGGCAATGTCAGGGTGGAGAGTGTGTACGGCGCTATGTCAGGGTAGAGAGTGTGTACGGCGCTATGTCAGGGTGGAGAGTGTGTACGGCGCTTTGTCAGGGTAGAGAGTGTGTACGGCGCTATGTCAGAGTGGAGAGCGTGTAAGGCGCTATGTCAGGGTAGAGAGCGTGTACGGCGCTTTGTCAGGGTGGAGAGTGTGTACGGCGCTATGTCAGGGTAGAGAGTGTGTACGGCGCTATGTCAGGGTGGAGAGTGTGTACGGCGCTATGTCAGGGTAGAGAGTGTGTGCGGCGCTATGTCAGGGTGGAGAGTGTGTACGGCGCAATGTCAGGGTTGAGAGTGTGTCCGGCGCTATGTCAGGGTAGAGAGTGTGTAGAGGTAGAGCAGTCACTCACTCACTCACTAACTCCCGTACCTGCTTGTGATAGACTGAAGGATGAAGACTGATGACGATCTGCGGTAACTGCCATCTGGACCATGCACAGGACCAGGACACTGTTACCACTTCTATCTATCCTCCACTGCTCCTGCTACTAATACTATTGCTGTTATTGTCACTACTGCTGTTACAACAACAACAAAAACTACTGCCACTACTACTACTACTGCTGCTGCTGCTGCTACTACTACTACTACTACTACTACCGCTGCTGCTGCTACTACTACTACTACTACTACTATTACTACTGCTACTACTACTATTACTACTGCTGCTGCTACTACTACTACTACTGCTTCTGCTGCTACCACTACTATTACTACTACTGCTGCTGCTGCTACTACTACTACTACTACTACTACTACTACTACTACTGCTACTACTACTACTACCACTGGTGTTGTCACTGTACTACTGCTACGTCCTGGTCGCCGGTGTCCTTCCTATTAACACCACTACGGCACTTCATCTCTTCCTACCTCTACCAGTACCACTACA